TCATCGGCAAGCTCCGCCTCCTCCGCCCTGGCGGTGATGTACGCCACCTCATTGTCAGTGGTGGGGCGGATGAGCAGTGGCTCCTCGTGGATGGTCCCCTCCGACAGATTGTCGAAAAATGCCTGCACCAGTTTTGCTTTTGGCTCGGCCCAGGTCGGATCGAGGTCGTGCACATTGAACATTGGCATCATGGCAATGATGGCGGTCAAGCGGGAGTTGTTAATCAACGGGACCACCCCCGCCGGCAAGCTGAATGGATTTCGGCCTTGCCGGTCCTCTCGGCTTTGCCGGTCTTGTCGACCCTGAGCTGAAAAAGCCTCTGGCAAAGATGCGCATGTTGTAACACCGTGAAGTTATGATTCAGGCCAGGGTGGAGCCTCATGATGTCAGCCGCCTTCTTGTAATCCCAGGCCGGCCTCCCCTTAACGTGCAAACGGCGATGCGACGGCGGATGAAATCATCCCCGACCATCTTGAGTGTGAGCCCAGCCGCTGCAAGACGATGAATCCTGGTGGTGGCAATCAGGAGCTTCTGGTCATCGGCGCCGAGATCACTCCAGTGTGGACCCCGGACCGGCGGACTTTGACGGACCTCGCAGAACGGCCGTGGGTCCTCCTATACAATCCATCACCACCGGCCCCGCCATTCATACCACCTCTCCTTCTGGGCTCCCTCTGGGTACACACCTTTGCACAGAACCCTTGGAATCCAAGCGATACAGCCAGAGAGGGCATCCCCCGGCTGGATGCGAGGAAGGAAATAATGGCGAAAGAGTGTCGTGTTGGGATGGACCCCGGCAAAACCCTCACAGATGTGAGAAAAGAGGGACATGCACACCACAACATTCAGCATAAAATCCAGGAGATGGGAGCCGTAGGTGTGCATGATGTCACTAACAAAATCTGAGAAAGGGGGGCAGAGGCCACAGGAGATGTAGTCGACGAAGGAAGGGTAAGTTTTCAGGCCGGGCTCGGCAAAGGGAGAGGGGATGCCCCGTCGTCTCTCTCCCCCACAGGCACCGGAACTGGTCCCTGAGCGTGAGCGTGTCGATCGTCGAAGCAAAGAAGGCGTGCTTCTTCCGCAGCTTCATCAGCTCGTTCTCCAACACCTCTTTCCCCTCGGTGGCCTTGGTCGCGCCCTTGCCATTGCTTGCCTTAGGCGCCATGGCGGCTGAGAAGAGGCAAGGGGTCTAGAAGCAATGGAGGCGCGTCGGCGGCGAGAAGAAGCAAGAACTCTGGTTTTCGCTCAAGGAAGAAGAAGGGGAACATCGGTTCCTAGATTGGGGAAGAGCGCAGAGGGTAAATGAGCGGCGCCCCTGCCGATTCCTCTTTTATGGGGAAGGCGCAGGCTGCCCTTTTTTACCATTAACTGTGAAGTGACACAGGTGTGCTGCGACCGCCCCACGCACGACCCCCACGTCACGCGCTCGACGCGGATCATGGGGAAGCGCAACTGGCAAACAGATCGTGGAAGATTAAGCGTCTACCACGCGTGCCCGCGCACTATTTTGGGTCGGGCCAACTATGCCTTGTGCTCACGTGTGGCCCAGGCCCGGGGGCTCCTGTCGGTGTACAAAAGTACGCGCTCTTTTGTACTTGTGCACGGGTAGTTGTAGCCACGCCTGTGGCCGGGCCTGGCGGGGCAACAGGAGATGAAACGCGAAGACTACCAAGACAGATACTCAAGAACAAGGGGCAGAAGGCAAGCTGGACCTCCCCCGGTAACACCCTTACCGGGGCAACCTACGCAGCACCAGCAAGCCCATCACTCTTGAGGCTGAGAGTTCTGACACCATCGACAATGTTAAGACCAAGATTTGGGAACGGATGCGTGGTAGCATGCAGATCTTCATGAAGATAGATAGCCCGCGGGTCCACGTGGGACCAGAACACGGAGACCCCCGGCAAGATCCTTGCCGGGGACGACTGCGAAGCCCCCCGACAAGCCTCACCGGGGACAATCGCTGGGCCATGGCCAGGCCCGCGCCCGGAAAGGATTTGCCACCTCACCACCACTCCAGTGCGACGACCAGCGTGACAACTAAGCAGGCGCCTGCGTGGCGGCATGCACATCTTCGTGGAGGCTCCACCATCGTGCCAACATAGCAGCTAGTTAGCCAGCGTGGCACTGCATGCCTCGTCAGCCTGCGTGTCGAGGCGAGGAGGGGCGGCGATGTACGAGATAGCTTCGGTTGTCGTCCCCGATAAAGGAAGAGGGCATGTAGGCAACGCGTTAAATGCGTTTGTCCTACGGCCCCGAGCGATAAGCTCAGACACTGTAGTTTGCTTTCTACCTCCTGTGTGCCACTGTGGCAACCCCTTTACGTATAAAAGGAGGCCCAAGGCGTACAAAGAGAAGATTGTGACTTCTGGACCGTGCATGAACCGCAGCTAGTTCAAAAGCTCAAGAACACATATGTCCAGACAAACGGGACTAGGATATTACGCATCTTTGCGGCCGAACCTAGGTAAAATCCCCGTGTGCTGACTGCTAGACCTGCTCTTCGTGCAGCTAATTCCCCAACCAAACATAGAAGGGATTCCTGTGATCTCATAGGTGTTCGTTTCCCCGACAACGGATGACACACCAAATAGATGTCCAGTTGCCACTTTAGTTGAGGAAGGGAAACAACTCCTTAAGTCTGGGTGTGATTGCTATATAGAACATGTTAGGAGAAGCAAAAACAATGTAGCTCATGCATGCTTTAGCACAGATGGGTAGATCATCTACTCGCACGGTCGTGTGGCTCCGCCATGGCCCAGATGAGATTGACACTCTTTACCAAGAGGATTGTAATGAATCACCTTGATTGAAATGAATTTATTTTTCCTCGCAAAAAAAGAAAACCGTAGGATTCCTTTTTTTTTTGGCTGGAAATATAACAGTTGGAATTCACAAGCATATATAGTTGTTCAGTCTTAACCGAGGACTGAACCGAAATCTCAGTCCACTGAATCCTCGCTTAGGAGTTCTCCAAATGACCGACCAGTCATCATTTTCGCATAACCGATTTTTTTCAAAATTCAAAGAACTGAACCGGTCGGTTCAGTTTAACCAAGCACCCAGCCCGACCTGTTATCCTGATAACAAAGGAGGAGCACAGAGCCAAAAACTCCTTTGATCCAATCTGAAAGTCTGAAGGACCCATGAGGTACCCTCAGCCAGCAAATTTGCACGTCACGTTGCCAGTTCCTACCAGAACCTTGCAAAAATCCCGCTTCTTAAGCAAATGTTTTGCAGAGGACTGAATTTCAAGATGACTTGGCTAAATCCCGCTAAAATTGGGACCTGAACATCAATTTTAGATATCTAACTTGGGAAGGTTGGCATCTATGTGCTGCGACTACACAACAAGCCTTTTTTTGTCAAACTTTTCATCTTCAGGGTGTTGTGGAGATCTTTTATTCAACTGCTTTACAAATACTCCCTCCGTTTGTAAATATAAGTATTTTTTAGATATTTCAATACAAACTACATACGGATGTAGATAGACACAATTTAGAGTGTAGGTTCACTCATTTTGACCCATATGTAATCCCTCGTTGGAATCTCTAAAGAGACTTATATTTAGGAATGGAGGAAGTACTTGCAGTTCCTTTCTTTGACATGAGTATGTCTTATGACACCCCATAGTAAAAAAGCAATACTTACTCAGATTTTAAACTTGGTTGCATTGTCTTATCACCACATTTCATTTCTGTCTGCAGGAAGTTGAATTGATCTTCTGCTGTAACTTACTTATAGTTCTGCATAATATCTATGCTTCGCTGTTATCTCAATTAGTAAGTATTGAGGACCGTGAGATGGCCACATACTACTCGAGAGGCTGACGGTGTATCCTATCTGATGTCGCAGGGCATGGCACCTCTTGCTGTTAGCATTGCACCATCAGACTACGAATCTTTGAACCGGATGGATCAATGGTAGCGGTTTGAGCAATCACCTCTCTGCATGATCTTGTGGCCTGAATGATGATACACCAAGTCAGGACCATTGACGCGCGCACGCACGCACACACACGCAGAGGATTTGGTGAGGGTGACAACATTTGTACAACTCCTAGTGGCAGAAGAATAACATGACCAAAAGAGCATGAGGTTGTAGTTTGTGGTTGTCGTTTGACACACGAGAGGGGGCATAGCAGGAAACGTAATATAAAGCGTAGGTGGTGGCCTGGTGGGGTGATAGGGGGTAAAGGTGGAATCTTTTGTAAAGATAAAATGCAATTTACTATGCGTGTAAAAGCTTGTTATTTGAGCACAGTATTTTAAAGTAATTGCCACTATAGGGTGAAAGTACACTTGCTACATGATGGGTATTCGTCTTCCCTTTTACCCTGCACAATAAAGTAAAGGGAATGAACTAGCAATGTAGCAATTAATAGCCAATAACATACAGGCTCTGCTCTAAGCTATATATGCTGCTTCTACGGTCCAAACATTACACTCCAACATAATTGCCCAGTTCAATTCATCATCCACAAATGCTACACTTGCATACAGACAGGATGTGAGTTTCACAAGACTCAAAATAAGTAGTAGCCAATAATATGTTCTGCTCGAACATGGAGGTTATGCTCTAAGCTTAAGCTGCTTCTACAGTCCAAAGGCACCCATAATTTAAAGTTTTTGTCCAAGAATGCACAAAAAAAGATTATGCCAAAAATGAATTTGTGCATGCAGGGTCAATTCAATTGACTCGTCCATGAAGCCCAGCAGTGGAGAGGTGCCTACACAAATAAAAAAAACGCAATGTTCGGTTAGATAGACCTTTGGAGATCGCTTAATAGTTCAATTGCTAGCTAAATGTTAACCAAAATACTACATTTTTTTCAATGCAAACAAAATTAGATAAGAGAAATAAAAATTGATTTCTTCATGAAGTTGTTTACCACACATGACAATCTCCTCTATAACCTTCGAATCTGAGTTAACCGTGCTAAATGTAAATTATGTTGAAATGGAAGATATTTACCTCAGACCCAGCTCAAGAATCAAGAATCATAAGACTGACAGGGCTTCTTCACCCATGATAGGGTAAGCACCTACACAGATAAAAACATCACATAGAGTAGATGAATCTTTGGCTCCTGCAGAAATATGTTTTATAACAGGGAGATGTTTACCTTTTACAATGTCCTCTCCACAGTCCGATACAATTACAGTCAAGTTTCTTGTTCTCGGACAAAGTTTGGTAGCATCAAATATTTTCACCTGTAAAGCCATCCATATAATTAAATGTACCAAAACACATTTTCAGTAGTGCTATGGTCGGCATGAACATGTAGTTACAACATAGAGTTAACTTACCGAAACATCTTTTTCAGTATTCAATTTCTTTCCTTGATCAAAATGATCCCAGCATATGTCTATCAACATGCTTTCCAACTGGCAAAATCACAAAAGTCAAGAATGTCACATAAAAAATATGGAAAATATACCCTACAATCAGGTGCACTCACCCTCACACCTCTCCCTCACACGAAATATTTTCTTGTTCTGTGATTTTTGAAATACATAATGGCTACAACTCTAAAGATATTTCATATATAAAGCACCTCCACTAAAATATAGTATAGGCTAGGACAGAGCCTGCAGCCTGAGACTTCTAGATTGTTAACATAAGAAAGAATCAGAGTTTTGTTAGGAATGGGTCTGATCCAACTTGGGGATCAAGTAGATGCCGTCCATATATTGGACAGCCGAAGGGTTCTTCGCGGCCATGGCACTGTGGGCACTTAGCGAGTAATTGTATGCATAGTAGATGACATGGTGGATGTGGCGTTGTTGCAGAATGTAATCAACTCTGTAACATTGCACCGTTGAGGAAGCCTTCCCTTTCTTCTATAGTATATGATATGCACACTCGTGTGTATTCGAAAAAAAAAAACATTGGACAGACATGTAAGCCTTAAGAGGCACCGATCAGTCTATAAAGAAAACCAGAAAACAAAGGTTCACCCCCCTCCCACCTTTTTTTAAGATTTTTGAAGCCATGGCTCATTTTCTAAAGAGGCCATCGATGGGGCACTTAAGGGCATGAAGGAAGATACTGCTAGCATCCAGGAGCAAAGCTAGGAAATTTTTTTAGAACGAAGACGCTAGAAGCGTCCGGCTTTAAATTAATAAAGCCCACACGAAACAGGCAGAGTAGCAAACGATCGGACGTTACACAGAAACCAAAAGCCCAAGGCGCTACTAGAAACTTAGTCTTGGGGGGGTTCAAAGCCGGGCAGCGAGCACGTTACAAGGCGGAAGCCTATGAAAGAGAGCACGCAGGCTCGCAAACAAAAGATCACTCCCACCATTAGGTAGGCATCGCTGGCTCCCTGGCCGCCACGTAGACTTGATGGACTCGTTCTCGCGCATGCTTCATGATCTCAGAGTCCTTCTGCTTCACCAATGGACTCCACAGCTGCAACAGAATAAAGCATTTGCATATGATATTAGCCGGGTGCGGGGAACGATCCTTCAATGGTGAATTTGTTGCGGGTGAGCCATAAGGACCATAACATCGCCCCTATACTAGCCCACATCACTCGCTTGTGTTGACCCTGAACCGAATCCAGGAGTCCCACAAGTTCGGAAGAGGAGTGCGGGTCCCAGGGGACACCAGCAGCCTCGCGCACAGCGCTCCAAGCAAACCTAGCGAGGGGACAAATGAAGAAGACGTGGTTTGCATTCTTGGGGTTCCCACATAAAGCGCATGGACCTGTAGCCGGGCCATTCTGTTTTGCTATGTTGATGGATGTGGGGAGACAGTCCCGGAACAATTGCCAAAAAAAAACTTTGATCTTTAGCGGAACGCGAGTTTGCCATAGTCCTTTCACCTCCCTCTGTGCCATCCCTTTCCACAGTTTGTGATATAAGGATTTGACAGAAAACTTCCTGGAGGCGTTAAGATGCCACGACACCCTGTCGGGCTCATTGGACAAGGCAACAGGGTTCACCAGTTCCATCAAGGCACCCAGCCTTGCTGATTCCTGATCGTTAAGGTTACGGCAGAAGGCAATGCCGTGGGGGGGGGGGAGGCCAAGGCCTCTGCCACCCTTTGATTAGGATGCACCGCAAGTGCATACAAATCGGGGAATTCTTCCCACAGGGGCCGAGTCCCCACCCAAAAATCAAGCCAGAAACGGGTGGAACGGCCATTTCCACATTGAATTTGGCCCCTTGGTCAAAGGCAGGTTTGATAGCCTGCATGTCCTACCAAAAAGGGGAGCCCCTCGCATCCCCTTCAAATAAATTCCCGTTTGGGAAATACTTAGCCCTTAGGATATCAGCCCATAAGCCAGTCGCCCCTTGCGAGAGCTTCCATATCCACTTGCACATGAGCGTAATGTTTTGTAGTCTGGTATTAGTGATTCCTAGTCCTCCCAAGGACTTGGGCCTACACACCGCAGCCCATTTGACCATATAGTATTTTCGTTTGAGACCCGTTCCCTCCCAAAAGAAATGGGCTCGTGGCGTGTCCATTTTTGTGTGGACCCCCTCCGCCAACAGGAAAAGGCCCATGGCGAACATGGGGAGCGAGGAAAGGCTAGAGTTGGTCAGGACAAGTGTTGCCGCGGAGGACATGAACTTGCCACACCAAGGGCTCACTTTCCTTCCCACTTTCCCACTTAGAGGTGCCCAATCGTCAATTGTCACCCTGCGAGGCGCTAGGGGCAGGCCTAGGTACGTAAAGGAGAACTTTCCCACTTTACAGTTGAGGAGGTCCGCTATGTGTCGCCCCTCCTCGCTATCTATCCCCATAGATAGCATTTCACACTTGTGAAAATTGATTTTGAGACCGGACATTAGTTCAAAGCTCAGCAGTAGTGCTTTCACCGTTGCTATACTATGAGTGTCCGGTCGGAACAGTAGCAGGGTGTCGTCTGCATACTGCAAGTGCGAGATCCCCCTAGGACAAGATGGCCTACCACTCCCTTGATGTGGCCAGCCGTGGTCGCTTTCCGTAACATAGCTGCGAGAGCATCAACAACAAAATTGAACAAAAGCGAAGACATCGGGTCACCCTGACACAGTCCCTGTTTATTTTGGAAGAAGTTCCCTACTTCCCGTTGACCAAAATAGCAGTCTGGCCACCCGAGAACAGTTGCATCACTCGGTGGACCCACATGGCCGAGAAACCCCGACTTAGCAGGACCTGGCGCAAATAGTTCCAGTTCACACGATCATACGCTTTTTCGAAGTCTCATTTAAGAAGAATAGCCGGTTCCCTAGTGTGTTTGAGTTCATGGAGGATCTCTTGCAGCGCGAGAGAACCCTCAAGGATGTTTCGACCACGGATTAAAGCACTTTGGGTGCGGCTAATGATGCGTTGCGCTATCGGGACAAGTCGAGAGGTGGTTGCTTTGGAGCAGATCTTAAACGAAACTTTAATTAACACGATAGGCCTAAATTGACGGATGTTATCAACGCCTGCCACCTTAGGGATGAGCGGAAGGACCCCAAAGTTGAGTCGGGCGATATCTACCGTCCCTCGCATGAAACCATTGCACACCTCAAACATAGGCCCCTGCAGGATCGACCAGAAGTGTTTGAACATGGGCACGGGCCACCCGTCCGGGCCTGGCACGGTATCGGTTTTCATGCTCCTCATAGCAGCATCAATCTCCTCGGGCAAAAAGGCGAACCCAGCTCCTCGTTTTCCCGATCTGTAACGAGCTGGGAAGGGTCCCACGGGTCAGCGCGCACCCCTGCTCGCTGCTCCTCACTCATCCCCATTAGCTGGATATAGAAGTCGTAGACATGACGCGCTGTGTCCGCCTGAGCCAGCAGTAACCCCTGTTCGGACTGCAACCGAAGAATCGCACATCTACGTCGTATCCCATTAGCGTAGGCATGGAAGTACTTCGTGTTGGCGTCACCTTTGAGCACCCACTTAAGGCCACCCCGACGCCGCCAGTACTCCTCTTCTGCGCGGAGCAAGGACTGAACCTGATCCTCCAGCGCGTAACGATGGGCCCATTCTTGTTCAAAAAAAGGCCGATCATCAGCCTGTTTGTCAAGGCTCACGATCTTGGCAAGGATACTCTCCCTGAGCATCTTTTCCTGACGGCCCAAGTTGGCCCCCCAGCCCTTGAGACTAGCCCGAAGGCGGCCCCCTACCGCGATCCAGGAATCCATCAAACCCAGTTGGGCACCCACCTGGCTAACGCAATGGTTCCACTTCACCCTGAAGATGGAGTCGAAGTATGGATTTTCAAACCAAGCCGTTTCGAAGAAAAACCGAGGGCTTCGACGAATCCTGTCCTCCCCTGAGGTAAGGATAAGCGGGACGTGGTCCGACCCTATCCTGGTCTCAGCGACAAGCGAGCATAGAGGGTACACCAAATCCCAGTCAGGAGAGATGAACATCCTATCTAGCACGGATCGCACAGCAAGTTACGGCAAGATGGCACCGACAGTCTTCCATCAACGATGGGAAGGACGATCAGGGCCTCGCGGCCAAGGCCAGCGACAAAGATGATGGCTTGTAGGGGAATCCCAAGTTTGCCATGCTGGGAGTTCCCGATCTAGGATGGGTTAGAATATGTGCTTCACTCGCTGACTCAAGTTGAGTAGTGTTCCGAAGGGCAAGGTACTCCGAAACACCGCAAAACATGGTTAGCATCATACCAGCTGACCAGGAGGGGCCCACTATGGTACCGCCGCCTCAGGCATGGGGAAGGCATGCTACCATGGGAGACTTTCAGCGGACAACTTAACAATCATTTTGGTTCAAAAATACGAAACACCGAAAACGGGCGAGCTGAAGCTCCTCGATAGCCAGGAACCATCGCAAGTATGAGGAATAATTTCTCACATTGGTGTGTCGCTGTGAGGGTCTAACCGAGGTGCATGAAGTAGAGTTTTACATTGCAGGGTTGTGTAAGCCATTGCGTAAAAATGTACAATTCACATCCCTGAGAGAAGGGGCGATGGACCAGGTACGAGCATTTGAGGACCATGACAAGACAGAGGGCGAGAACTAGGGTGCGCCGGTTACTGCCACATCCACCCTCTCGACCCGCTCACTCGTCTACCCCGTCCCTTACTGCTCATGCCAATGTTGCACTACTGGATACCTTAGGAATCCCGCAGGACACCCTAGGCAGAAGGCCCTTCAGGCGCCTCACAACAGAGGAGATGGACTTCAACTGTGACTCACAAGTTCACACCTGGTCACTGTTATAAGAATTTTTTATTTCTGTGGCCAAGAGGGACAATGGAGACTCTACCAAGGAGGATGTGGATGTGGATGTGGAGGTCTCCCTTCACGCTCCCACCGGTATCCACAAAAGCTCAGCGATGTAGTAGGCAATTGTCATCCTAGGAGTCATCCTCATTGCCCTTGTTGACTCTGGCTCCACCCAAAATTTCCTATCATACCAAGACACCATGCGCACCCGCGTGGAGCTTTCCCAACGGGCAAGCATGCGTGTGGATGTCGCCAATGGCAACAAGGTCATCAGCCATGGGATCTGTCATGGCCTTGATGTCTTCGTGAGTACACAACCATTCACCGTCGGCTGCTAAGCCTTTCCTTTGTAGAGTTACGACATGTTTCTCGGTGTGCAATAGCTAGTGGCTCATTGAGATCCATCTGTTGGACTTCACCAAGCCCACCATGTTGTCGAGCCGCGCATATTACCGCCTAACAACCTTGCTACATGACTTTGAGGGCATGGTCATTGAGCCGCGCATATTACATCTAGAGCGGTGATGTGATCACCACATTCACCTCCTTCTAGGAGCGGCTCCAGTGGTGGTCCGTCCATATCGCAAACACATCAAATGGCAAGATTGAGTGGCAATGCGCCGATGTGCTAGATTAGGTTCGAATTTTCCTCTCGGTCCATTTGGTCAAGAAGCAAGATGGCTTGAGGAGTTTCTTTAAGGACTATCGTGCCCTCGATCACACCTATTATTGGGTCCGCAAGCTACTTGGATTTTGTAGTGGAATTTAGTCCGGGAAATCTCAATACTAAGATGCTAAGCACCACAATGTTGATCAATGATTGTGGCCTGATCCAATTGATGAGAATAACCGTCCATGCAGAAAGCTGATCCATTCAGCCATGAATTAATGTTCTTCAACAAGCACACCATTATTCAAATTATTTAATTAGAATTATGAAATTACTATCTACCTATTAAAGATGTGTGAGATTAATCTAAGGTGGATTAGAAAGTAACTAAACCTAGTTGTAGCAAAAAAATAGAAAATTCAACAAATACAAAATACACAAACCTCAATTGTAGTAGAAATGTGCTTTCCGTTAAAACTTTCAATGACATCACCCTTGCGAATTCCAATTTTCTCAGCATGTGATTCTTTTGATATCTAATTTTCAATTAGCATAATTAGTTCATAATATGCATATGGCAAATAAATTTAAAATAAACTATAATGGAACTGATAGTCAAAATTATATAGAAAGTACCATATGTATACCTGCTCAACAATAAGGCCAGAGTCGATGTTATGCTTACGAGTCATCCTCTCAATACAAATAGGATTTAAAAACTTGATTGGACTAAATGTCATTCCAAGGTGGAGGCGAGGCATACAACTATACCAAATAAAATGAAGACGAAACGAGTATCAAATTTAAGAAGGAACATCATAACATTAATATCTTTACAAGACATATGTATCACATTACTAAGAAAGAATTGAGAAGGGCGGAATACATACTTGAACCTCCTCCAAAAATCCAAGCACTTATGCAATATCGACGAAGGTACAAACGTCTCATTAATTTGGTTGTTAACTAGACCCACAACCTTCCCTTCTAAATCAATGATGGGCCCTCCATCATCATGTAACTATAGCATTGTAGTAGTGACGAATATTATGATTTGTAGTGAGAAGGAAGTAAGATGGAGATGCAAAACATAAATTTGAGATGTAACGTACCAGTTTGAGACTAGATGCATCACGAAGAAAATACATGTAGTGGCATCTTTCATACCCGGATGGACTGTTATAGGCCAAATTACCATGTGTTATCTTTATATCAAGATCTGCATCTCTTCCAAGGCGGAAAACATCTTGACCAGAATGCACACGGTCATTAAAGGTGGGTAGATGAACTGGTTTGTCCACTTGAACCTCATAAATAGCAATTTCATAATGCTCTTGAAGATAGATGAGGTGGCCTAGTGTAGTTGTGTTGTCCAGCAAATGAACAATGACCTAAAGTAGACGGTAGCAAAGTTTATGACCTTACATTTTCTAAATAACTTATATTGAGGAAAACATTTTTGAGAGATCAACTATCATGAAAGTCAAGAGCTAGAATAAGAACTTCTGTTTCTAATTTTCTATTCTAACAAAGTTGAAGATAATGACACATTTAATTTGCAACTAGCCACAGGTGTATCAACTGAGTCATTAGAAATAATTTAATTTGAGAAGGCATAAACAAGCAGATAAAAAAGCATAGCTAGTCAAGCAGGTAGATAAATAGACCATTGAATATATGTTTTTACTTGCATAGTAGTGTAGGGCTCCCCACCCCAATTTCATTTGAAAAGAAGCTGGTAATTAAAGCATGCATTGTCTTAAGTTCAGGTACCACCATTCGGTGGGACAAACGCCCTTGCTGAAATTATGATGACAAAGAGACTAGTGAATGTTAAGAAGTTTACCTTAGCGTTATGATGATATTCACCTGTCCACTGCCGCTTCCACTGGTTTAGATCATTTTTGCGAATGAGATGAGCAGATGTCAAAACAAGGGCGGTTTTTCTCTGGTCATCCCTTTGAAACCACAAGCCACAACATTTATTGAGCTGTTGATTCCCTACAAAGCAACAAAAGTTGCAAACGTTGGCTAGGTAGCAAATACTACCTCTGTAAACAAATATAAGATGTTTTATATCACTAAAGTAGTGATCTCAAATGTCTTATATTTGTCTTATAGTTGTTTGCAGAGGGAGTATTAGTTAGGACGCAAAAATGATGTTAAATACACACCGAGAAAGGATGAGAGCAAAATGATAGATTTAGCAGCAAGAAGTATTGCATCTCTTGTGAGTTCACGGATGGAAAGGAGGCCACGGTCATTGAACAGGCACGAAGATGGATCGTGCCAGCGATCCATTGTGAACAGGTCAGCTAGACGAGCTACGTAAAGAAAATTAAGATCAGGTTGGAAATTAACGATGAATGGGGAAATTAACGATGAGAAAAGTAATTTTGGGGGGAGGGTGGGGGCGGGTGTTTACCTTGTTCTGCTTTGTATTTGGCTTTGGCGTGTTTGAAGGCGGAGCGTGCGACCCGATCTGCAGCTAGCTCGTCTGGAATGTAGGGTTCGTAGACCGGTGAGCTGGGTGGATCGGAGGATTCCTCCGTCGCGGACTCGACCACATCGCACACACGACCTACAGAAAAATCGTATCTGTCATGCTGAGGAGGAAAAGAGGTTGGAACCTCGGGGGGCAAAATCACCTAATTTTGCTTCGGATTGGGTTGTGTCAGGCTCGAAGATCGCGAAGGTAATCTCATCTGCTTGTCCATCACTGTTGCCGATCCTCCTGCCGGCCTTGGTCATCTTGTCGACTCGTGCCAGGCTTCTCTTCTTCTTCTTTTTCTTCTTCGTCTCCGGTGGTCCGTCGTGGTCACGGATCCTCCTGCCGGCCTTGGTCATCTTGTCGACTCGTGCCAGGCTTGTCTTCTTCTTCTTTTTCTTCTTCGTCACCGGTGGTCCATCGTTGTCGCGGATCCTCCTGGCGGCGGCCTTGGTCATCTTGTCGACTTGTGCGCCGCCTCCCGCAAGATGGTTCTGCACAGGAGCCGAGCGCAGTCGCGGTGGCAGCAGCGATCGTCGATCAATCGATCGCTTAGCTGGGCTATAATGGGCTTTAGTTTTACGCTCAGTGGCTGGGCTTTAGCTGTAAGCATATAAGAACAAAAAAAGTTGTCCCCCTCAAAAAAAAATTGTGACACACTGTACGACAACAACTTCAGGGACCAGGTTCGTCATCGATTTGCTCGAGACGGAGCCGCGGCAGTCTTAAGTTTGGAACGCCCAAGATTCATGGCAGAGGTGAACTACCTTTCTTAAGTGTTAGTTTAGAAGAACTAAAATTCTGGCCACGGTGTGGTATCGATGGCAAGAACCCGTGAGGTTTGGAACAATGCTAAGGTGCGCTGACCACGTGAACATGAAGTACTTTGCATACAGATAGGGTTAAATCCAATATATTTTGAAGCTAAAAGTTTTTGAATTCAAAGAAAACTTCGAGTGAAAATATTCCGGAAATTCTGAGATTTTCTCGACACCGGTTTTTCCGTTCCCACCTGGAAAATAACCGAAATCGAGAAGAAAAAAACTGGTAGGACTAGTGTCCCTACCGGCTCTACTCCTTAGGTTATAAGGGCAGAACAACGGAGGTCGGGGGCGAGCACGCGAGCTCCGGCGCATCGGCGCCGTCGCGAGGGAGGAGAAGGGCGGCTGCGGTTAGGGCAGGAGGCGGCTAGGGTTTCCGGCTCCTCTGGAGCCGGGCAATAGGATAGAAATATCTTTATTGCTTAATCTCGAAAAGGTATCTTACAACTAATATTTATAACCTCAAAACGAATAGCCTAAGATAACTTGTGGGCCAAGCCCCTAACTACTGCCCAGTGGGCCTCCTCCGGTTATATGTTAAAACGGTCATAACATCTCTCCCCGCCTGCACAAACAGCTCGTCCTCGAGCTGAAAGTCTGGATAGTGGTGGCGGAAGTCATCACGTGGCTCCCAAGTAGCCTCCTCCACTGGAAGTCCCGCCCACTGGATCAACACGAACCACAGCCCGCGACGGAGTTGTGCCTTCAACACCTTCTCTGGCTCCAGAAGAAGACGTCCGTTGGCGGTCGGAGGAAGCGCGGGTGGAGCCGCCGGTGGCTCTCCATGAAAAGGCTTGAGAAGCCCCACATGAAACACGTCGTGGATGCGAGCGCCAGCCAGTAGCTGAAGGCGATAGGCCACCTGCCCGATGCGCTTCAAGATAGCGAAGGGTCCGGCGTAGCGAGGACCGAGCTTGCGCTTTGCGCGCGGGTCGAGTGACTGCATAGAGCGGTGGAGAAGACGCGGCCACACCCAATCACCCACCGCAAACTCCGCCTCGCGATGGTGGTCGTCGTAGTAATGCTTCGCCAGCTGCTGGGCCCGAAGGAGACGCTGACGGACCTCAGCAAGCATCTCGTCATGGGTGCGAATAAGGTCACCCGCAGCCTCCGTCCGCGCCGTAGCCGGGTACACCGGCGAGATAGGTGGAGGCGGCCGACCGTAGACCACCTCAAATGGTGTCGCACGCAGGCGAAGTGATAGGAGGTGTTGTAGCAGTACTCCGCCCATGCGAGCCAATCCACCCAAGCGCGAGGCCAATCACCTGTTACACAGCGTAAATACATGGCAATCACCTTGTTAACCACCTCAGATTGGTCGTCCGTCTGGGGGTGGAAGGCCGTGCTGAAGCGGAGCTTGACGCCCGCCATCCTTAAGAGGTCGCGCCAGACATGGCCCATGAACACTGTGTCACGATCACTGACGATCGAAGAATGGAAACCGTGCAGACGGACGATCCCGTCGAAGAAGGCACGGGCCACGGACGCGACGGTGTAGGGATGCCCCAGCGCGATGAAGTGAGCATACTTAGAAAAGCGGTCCACCACCGTAAGAATGACCGATTTGCCGCCCACCTAGGGAAGGCCCTCGATGAAGTCCATGGAGATATCTGCCCAGACCTGAGATGGCAAATCCAAGGGCTGAAGAAGGCCAGCCGGCCGTAACGTCTCCGTCTTGTTGCGCTGGGATGTCGTGCAAGACGCACCCAATCACGGACCAGGGCGCGATCACCAGGAATGTAGAAGTCGGCGCGGAGACGATGGAGGGTTTTCTGCACACCCTCATGGCCAGCCGAGTGGGCTAGTAGCAAGACCTGATGACGGAGATCATCATGCGCCGGAATGAAGACACGGCGCCCATGGACGAGCAGGCCGTCGGCGAAGCGCCAAGGCTCCTCCAGATCGCTGGCCGCCAGCTGCTGCTGCAGGAGGACCGCGTCGACAGTGGTCGCCGTGGCCCGGCGAATGTCATCGAAGAGGCCGAAAGTCGGCCCTGAGAGGATGCACAGCGCTGTCCCCTCGGAGTCACCGGTGACGGAGTTGAGATCGGCGTCGCGGTGAGACAAGGCATCGGCCACGGTGTTAAGACGACCCGGGCGGTACTCGGCGGAGAAGTCGAAGCCGAAGAGCTTGCTAATCCACTGGTGCTGCGGCACGGTCGAGAGCCTCTGGTCCAGCAAGAACTTGAGGCTGTAGTGGTCTGTGCGAATCTGGAAAGACCGACCCCATAGATAGGGACGCCAATGGCGCACCGCCTGCACCAAGCCAATGAGCTCCCGCTCGTACGCCGCGAGCTTGAGATGGCAAGGGGCGAAAGGCCGGCTGAAGAAGGCGAGAGGACCATCGCCCTGATGAAGCACGGCGCCGAACCCTGCACCCAAGGCGTCACAGTCCACCACGAACGGGCGGTCGAAGTCCGGCATCTAAAGAACGGGCCCCGTCGTGAGAGCCCCTTTGAGGGCCTCAAACGCTGTCGTCGCCTCCTCGTCCCAGGCGAAGGCGTCATGGCACAACAATCGCGTGAGTGGCGAAGCGATGAGGCCGAACTCCCGGATGAACTTCCGGTAGTATCCGGTGAGGCCGAGAAACCCGCGAAGAGCCCATGGAGACTGTGGCATCGGCCAGGCGGCAACGGCAGCCACCTTGTCGGCGTCCATAGCAACCCCGTCGGCCGAGATGACGTGGCCGAGGTAGGCAACCGAAGGTGTCCCGAACGAGCACTTCGAGCGCTTAAGATGAAGATGATGCGCCCGAAGCTCGTTGAAGACGATGGCGACGTGCTGAAGGTGCTCTGCCCAAGACGCATTGTAGATCAAAATATCATCAAAGAAAACGAGCACAAACTGATGCAAAAGGGCCGGAGGACGTCATTCATCAGAGCCTGGAAGGTCGCCGGGGCGTTGGTGAGGCCAAAGGGCATCACCAAGAACTCGAAGTGGCTGTGGTGAGTCCGAAACGCCGTCTTGGTGATGTCATCCGGGTGCATGCGCACCTGGTGGTACCCCGACCGGAGGTCGAGCTTGGTGAAGAAGCGCGCCCCATGTAGCTCATCGAGGAGCTCATCGACCACCGGAATAGGGAATTTGTCCTTAAGTATGACAGCATTAAGGGCACGGTAGTCGATGCAGAAACGCCATGTGCCGTCCGATTTGCGAACGAGAAGCACTGGCGCGGTAAACGGCGAGGTGGAGAGCCTGATGATGCCTACTGCGAGCATGAGCGCACACTGCCGCTCCAACTCGTCCTTCTACAACTGCGGATAGCGGTAAGGACGTACTGCCACCGGCGTGGAGCCCGGCAGAAGGTGTATACGGTGATCATACGCCCGGGCGGGCGGTAGCCCCTGCGGCTCGGTGAAGAGGTCGTCGTGCTGCTGCAGAAGGCTCTCCAAGAGTGGGTGCTCGGCCTCGGCGGTGGTCGCGGCCAGTTGAAGTGGTGGTGCGGGTGCGGCACCCCCAATGCCGTCCCACCGAATGCGGCGACCCAACCGCCAGAAGTTCATCGTCAGCGCGTCGGAGTCCCAGAGAATGGGACCCAGCGTGCGCAAGAAGTCGACGCCGAGGATGAAGTCAAAGTAGCCCAAGTCGATGCCGGCGCAGGTGATGGTGAAGTGCTCGTTGCCGATAGTGATGGGCACGTCACGGGCGAGCCCGTGGCAGCGTAGACGGTCGCCATTAGCGACAGTGGCCCGCAACTTCTCCCCGTCGGTCGGCTGCAGTGCAAGGCACCGCATGGTGGCCTCCGGCAGGAAATTATGAGTGGCATTTTGCTCTAAAATAGAGCATCAGCATTCTCTTCTCTTCTCTTCAATGGAATCGGTGCCTTTTGCTCTAAAATAGAGCATCAACATTCTCTACTCTTCTCTTCAATGGAATCGGGGCCTTTTGCTCTAAAATAAAGCATCAACATTCTCTACACTTCTCTTCAATGGAATCAGGGTCTTTTGCTCTAAAATAGAGCATCAACATTCTCTTCTCTTCTCTTCAATGGAATCGGGGCCTTTTGCTCTAAAATAGAGCATCAACATTCT